TGGGATGTTTATTAGGAAAGTCTAATCTAAATTCTCAAGGTGTTGCTGGAATTATTGATCAGGATTATGAAGGAATTAAGGCAGTGATGAAATCTAATATACCATGGTTTATAAAGAAGGAGTATCACTTAAGCCAATTTTTCCTTCCTTGCATTTCTAGAGTTAAAAGTTGTAACTATCAGGAAAGAGTACTTGCAAAGTCTGATCACCCTTTAAATGAAGGGGGTCTTCTGGAATGCTGTTGTGGGGAAACAACAGTGCCCCCACGTGGAATTAGAAATTTAAGGGGAAAGGCTTTGCAAATCTGGATTTGGGGTCATTGCCTTTGGGCATTCGGGAGGGCCTAGGACCCTCCCATTAACTTCCTCTAAAGCCAGCATGGAGAGAATGAGTGAAATTAACCAAGAGAGAGGATTGCAAGATAGTAAAATCATACAGTGTTATCCCCTTGCAGAGGGGTCTCGGGGAGGAGATGAGCCAGTCAGGGTGCGATGTAACAATGATGAGAAATACAACCTTCCTCTAGTTCCTAAAGGTTTCCTCCCCGCTCCCACTACCATGACTCGAATTCTATCTTGCAAGACTGGCTAGACCAGAGGAGGTACACTGGTACAGATAGGAACTGAAAAGACAGGGAATCCAGGACGGATGAGCCCTATAGGACCAGTGGTGTGAGTGGCAAAACAGGGAGGGTAAAGGGAGAAGGGGTAGGAAAGAGGGAACCGATTACATAGAACTGTGTGTGACCTCCTCCCTGGGGGACAGACAACCGAAAAGTGGATGAAGGGAGAAGTCGAACAGGGCAAGATACGACAAAATACCCATTTATAAACTGTCAAGGGCTCATGCGGGAGGGGGGAGCGGGGAGGGAGGGGAAAAATGAGGACCTAATGTCGGGGGTTTAAATGGAGAGAAAATGTTTTGAGAAACGATGTACAAATGCGCTTTACACAATTGATGTGTGTATGGATTGGGATAACAGTTGTATGAGCCCCTAATAAAATGTTAAAAAAGAGAAAAAAAAAAGTCATACAGTGTTAGAAGCCTGAAAGGTAAAGCGGCTTAATTGAGCCTATAAGCTTACTGGTAAACTTGGAGAAAAATGTCTGTTTGGTAAGTTACTTCAAGAACAGCTGAATAAATTTATTAAAATTTTTTTCAGTCTTTCAAAGTATGGTAAATTCTCCCAATTAGTCAGCTCTCTTAACTCTCTGAGGGCTGGGAGCCAGTATTTACATAACAATGAAGGCTATCTAACTAGTAGTTTTACTGGTTCAAGACCAAGCAAGGTAACTGAGATGACCAGCAATGCTATAAAGGCTGCATGGTTAGAACAGAAGGGGGAGAAGAGGAGTCTTATGTATGACGAATTTCATTTGGTCAATTTAGCCAAAAAAATTTTCTCCTTACTAAAAGCTTGTAACAAGTTAGGGCAGAGAGAGCTAATGCTACGAAATCCCAAGATGATGGAAACCACGTCTGGGATCCAGGTCCATCTGTCATGTTTTTGCAGAATAAAGCTGATGGACTCCCTTTAGAAGCACGCAACCATGTTCAGAGAAAGATGGACATGAAGGACACGAAGGAACCACAGAAGCTTAATCATAATTCTTTTTCCAGGTCACTGACACCCCGAAGAGAGGGGCTATTTGCTTATATTTTCACAGGCAAAGGAGAGAGGTGTATTTCTCTTCAGCCAGCAAGGCCCAGAAGAAAGCAGGGAAGCTTATGTGTGACCTGATCCCCCTGTCCTGTTACTGATATATAAAACAAAAGGGGGACTTGTGGGGGGAGGTCAGATGCTTACAGACATCCTCCCTGAAGGCAATCACTGCCAGACGGCTGTCTTGCTCCCACTCTCTCTTCTCCCCCTCACTCTCCTCTCCTTCATTCCCTTTCCCATTGTCCTCCTTCCCTTCCCCCTCTCTCCACGTGGACCACCAAGTGGGGCTGAGGTGAGCAATGCTACCATGTAATGTGTCTGACTGCATTATTGTAATATCTCTTCTATCACTCATGCTCTCAATGTCTTTAATATAATATTTATATATCTCAACCATACAATTAATTGTGCTTATTGAACCGATGGTTAGTGGTGGGGAGCTGGCCCCCCCACCTCATACTACACCCCTAATAATACGATTAAAAAAAAGAATTACTAAGACTATAATTGTAAATGGCAGCAGACTTTTACGTCTTTGTCCCATAGAATGGGTTTGAACTGCGGACTTTTGGTTACCAGTTGAGTACATACCCACTGCGCTACCAGGACTTGCAACAGATGGCTCAGGAAATAATAATAATCATAAATAAAATCCTCAGGTTCAGGAGCTGAGAATGCAAGAATCTAAAATGTGACATTTCAAAGAAGTCAGCAGCCAGGCAGACATAAGGCTTGCCTGTAGCTGAAGCCTTCTCCTTTTCATTTCTTTCTTCATAAATAAATCACTTTATTGGAGGCTCGTATAACAATCCATGCATCCATTGTATCAAACACATTTGTACATATGTTGCCATCATTATTTAAAACATTTTTTTTTCTGCTTGAGCCCTTGGTATGAGCTTCTCTTTTATCTCTCCCGCCGCCCCTCCTGCCCTCATGGACCCCTGATAAATTATAAATTACTACTATTTTCATCTCTTATGCCTTCTACTTTTCCTCAAAGTAAAATTTGCAGCTGCTGAAAACACTCAAAGTAGATAAAATGCATTGCCAGGGTCCCACACATTTTCTTATTTTCTTTCTTAGGATTCAAATAGCCCTGTCTGGAAAATTAGATATATAGAAACGACTATAAGCTTTTACAAAAAATATCTAAACCCTGTAGTCACATAGACACTTTTGAAGCAGACATTGGAGGTGTGCTGAACTCTGTTTCCTCCTTATGCATTGGCATAGTGTGAGCATAAACTCTTCTCTCTCTTCCCTCACTGTGGCTGAACTGACTCTGTGTTGACCAGGCAAAGCCCCAACTGGGATAACCGAACTACAGCAGACACTGGGGTGGGTAGAATGGAGTTGAATTTCCCCCAAAGCCTCATTCCTAGAGAATTATCATCATTTGATATGCCTGATAGCTTCCCCAAAGCTCCCCAATCTCAGAACTCTCATTTGACTTGATGCAAAGCTTGTTCCCTGCTAACAGCCTGTCTGGGGGTTTGTCTCAAACCATCGGTGGCAATTGTCTGAAATTACAGATGCCTGAGGCTGGGATAATAGTTGGGACAAACAACAATTGGACCAGAACAATAAAAGGGAAAGCTGGGTAATGCGGCTTCCTGTAGGGCTCTGAACATTTCTGCCTTGTCTGGGGTCTAGAAGGCCACGTGATTGGACTTAATTGTACTGGGCTTGATGCACGCCCTAGAAAGACCTCAGAGGACCCCAGCATTTGATTGACTTTGAAGCTTTCTACCAGCCCAGTAGTAAAGACTGAAGCAGAGTCGTAAACTGCTACAGCGTGGAGCGCATGCCCCCACACGGACACACAGCCCATTGGCAAAGGCTGGGAAACTTATTTGTTCAGGACATTTAGGAAACTAGCTGTTCCATTATTCACTGGCAACTGATCTAGCTGGTCAGAGGCCTCCATGTAAAATATAGCAAATGATATATATTGTACAGACTAGATTCTGAAAAATTACTAAGCACAAGAACTCCCTTCCTCACCCCCCATGAGCAACAATCATACACAACCTTGTGGAAGAGAATCTGATCACCAGAATCACCAGCCACACGATGGATTCTGACTTTATGGGCTAGTGCAGGGGCTGAGTTCACCTCCCTGCCATGCCTAAGGCAGCTGGGGCCAGGGCTCAAATGCCAGAACCCAGAGTGGTTTTGAGTGAGAGCAGAAAAAAATAGGCTCCCTTGGATCTGGGTATGCAATGGACAGAGACACTAACAGTTTAGGGAAACTGAGGCAGGAAATGAAAGCAGGTGGAGGATGGAGGGCAAACAAGAGAGTGCACCAGGTCCAGTGTTCCTCTCACATATTTTTAACTTTTGCAGAAGCTGGGCAAACCAGAAGGAAAGGTTGAAGGGAGAAGGCAGAGCCCAGAACAGGAACAAAGTGGTCCCACAAAACCCATCCCCACGTGGGCAATCTGCCTAGGTTCCAATTTAAATGCGCTCTCATGATTATTCATTGTTCCAACTCAGGGAAATAGGACATTGCAAATTCAAGCCCCTGGATTCTCAGCTATAAAAGGCAGTAGGAAACCACACCCCAGAGGGGATTCTACTTGGTCACTCCTGACCCTGGATCTTGAGGATTTCGTCTTCAAGTCTGGTGACTGTGCCATATGAAGAGTCCAGGAATCACATCTCCAGGCGTTTCACAGGTAACTGGCTTGTGAAGGCAGGTGGGAACATGGTGGGGTCAGGGAGGGTGTTGGAGAAAATCGGGAGAAGGGCATTTTGGATTTTGAGTGGAACAAAATGACAAGAAATATCAGGGGTTTAGTTACTAAAAGGAGATTTGAAACTCTTCCCCTGTACCGAATTCTAGACTGAATCGTGCCAGCCTCAACTCTCAGCTGCAAAGTGAAACTCAAACTGGTCCCACTTCTGAACCAATCCCATCCCTATCTTCAAGCCCAACACCAGTCATAGCCACAATCGCCAATACTCACCTCAGCCCCAGGTATGTCTTTAACCTTAAACTCAACTTCAATCCCAGATATGATTTGAATCTTAACACCAGCCCCAATCAAAAGTCAATCTTCGAATCTACCCTGTTTCCAACTTTGGTGCCAAACTGAGGCACAGTTTCATCTATGGCTCAACGTAAGTTCTGACCACAATCCTAATATGAGGCATAACCTCAATTTCCATGCCCCAAATAAGATCTAGTCCTAGCAACAAATTTGACTTCAACTTTATCTTCACCTTCAACTCCAAATTCAACCCAACTCCACCCCAGTCCCTAGTCCTGACCCCACTGCCAACCTCAGTTGCAAACGCAGGTCCATTCTCTCTCCTAGCTCTCTCCCTGGATGCATTTTCAACCGGAGCCTCATCTCTTACCTGAACTTGAATCCTCACTTTGGTTCTGACTCCGGTCCAAGTCTACCCCTTGGCCTAGCCCTCACCCTACCTGCCTGGTCACAGTTCCTGTCTTCCTTTCAGCTCTGTAAGCCTCAGAGGTTGCGCTGACTCAAGCATGCCGATCAAGTATGAAGACCACCAAACCCTGGAGAGTGAGGAGGGAAGCCCGAAGTTTAGGAATGGTAAGAGGAAAGGAGTCCCCGGAGAAGCACGTCCTAAAAGATGCTCTCAAAAAGTCTACAGGGGTTCTGCTGTTGCTTCACCACATATCCTGGGGGCAGGGGGTTGTCACAATTCTGGGCAAGAGGTGGCCAGGGCTCAGTCTCTGGCGGTCCCCATCGGAAGAGGACCGGGGACTTTCACAATGACAGAGATAAGGAAGATGACAGTTGACCTAGCTCCCTGGGTTTTGTGGGGGAGAGAGGAAAAGTAAGGGTGTACAGGGAGGTCGATGAGCAGTTGGGTTTGGAAGGGACATTTTATTTGCGTACCTGTGGTTCCAGAGGCACATGAGCATGAAACATCTGGAATGCCCTCAACTCTCTGTCTTCCCCACAGCCCTCTGGGTTCTAATGGCAGGCTCTCCTACCTCACAGTATCCCCACTAGTCCATGCAAATGCGTGTTCTTGAGGTGGGAGAGGGTCCAGTGCTGGTCCACAACACAGACGCTCTGGGTTCCCCAACCCACCATCCTCCTAACCCCATCTTTTCTCCAGCTTGCCTGGGCCCACTCTTTGTTCCTAGACAGCTCCCTCTAGACCTCTTCTCCGGCCACTCTCCCATCCAGTACCCTCCTCCTCCCGACAGCCTCTCATCCTGCAGGGTCTCGCCTTCTCCAGCCCTTCCAGCAGCGGATTTGCTACGGATCCCAACTTCACCTGCTCTTGCTGGGCCTCGGTCTTCTGCTGCTGGTCATCATCTGTGTGTTTGGATGCCAAAGTGAGGGCCACATGGGTGGGCAGGGCTGGGGCAGTGATAGGGTACAGTGGCAAGAAAACCATGGGGACCGTATGAAGACCACAATAGAAGCAATGAGGGTGGGTGGTGGGCACTGTGACCACAGCAGGGCAGATCTGGATTCCTGGCAATAGCAGTGCCATCATCAGCCATTGGGGCTATGACAGGGTACTGTGGGACGCCATGTTGGAGACATGGATGGGGTGAGAGATGAGCCCTGAGAAGGGCATTGCCAGGGGCACTGATGGAGCCAGTGATGGTGTTGAAGCCCTAGAGGCAGACAAAGAGGGTTGCCTCTGGTGATGTGGACAAAATAAAGTCCCGTGACACACATGGTTTGCACTCAACTCTCAACTTAAATGTTGGTGATGAGCATTCACCCTGAGGCTCCGAGGAAGGAGGCTCCTGGTGGTCTGATTCAATAAAGCAAACTTCATGGGGCAGCTCAATGCTGTGCATTGAGGGTCGCCACAAAGCCGAATCACTTAAGACAAAAGACTTATGCATTCTAAGTCTCCGTTGACTCCTCTCTAATGTGGGGAGCAACCGCGCCTGCCCTCTCGGGTCCTTGTGAGGACTGAGTGAGGCAATATGCAGACAGCACCCTGCTCAGTGCCTTGCACGGGCAAGGTTCCATCTCTGCTGACTCTGATGGGCCCATCCTACTAATCAGTTACCAAGCTTCAGAGGGACCTGCTGACCCTGAGAACGACTTCCCTCAATTTGTCATCCAGCACCGCAGCTGAGATCCAGGCACTGAACAGCCAGGGTGAGCCTGGGGGGTGGGGTGAGGAGGGCCGGGGAGGGGCGAGGGTGGTAGCTGACTCCTGGGCACTGAGCTCCCTGTGACCCAGATGGCAGGTTCCAAGGAGCGGTGACATCTCTGCAGAGCGAGCTGAAGGAACACAAACAGCTGCTGCAAGCAGGTGATACCCCTCCAGGAGTGCATGTGGAAGGGAGGGTCCAGGGCCTCAGAGAGAAGGGGGTGCCGCCTAGTGGGTGCTGAGGTTCACTGCCCTCCAGGCCAAGGCTTGAAGAACAAGTTGCTGACTCTGGAGAGCAACCTGGAGAAAGAGAAGCAGGATCTCAAAGCAGGTCAGAGACCCCCCTCCCCCTCAGTCCTCCTTGGGAAGGTGATGGGGAGGGCTTGAGGGCACCCGACATCCAAGGCGTGTCCCCACTCCCCATTTGCCTGTGTCCCAGTTCACGACATCATCATCCTGGCAATTCAGCATCATGCCGCTGAACTGCAATCCCTGACTTGTCAGATGACTGCTCTCAAGCGCAATGGTGAGGAGTGGGTGTGGGAGGAGATGGCCCCCGGGGCTGTGTCCATTTCTGTACCCACTTTCCCGGGCAGCGTCTCATCTCAGACGCACATTTCTCTGCTCTCCAAGCCTCTCGGAGTACGTGCTGTCCCATGAACTGGGTGGAGCACAGAGGCAGCTGCTACTGGTTCTCTCAGACGGGGAAGTCCTGGCAGGAGGCACAGCAGTACTGCCAGATGGAGAATTCCTACCTGGTGGTGGTGAATTCACAGGAAGAGCAGGTGAAGCCCCTAGGACTCCTCATTGGGGAGGGTGGCTGGTCAGTGGTGTGGGGAAGGCTACCACCTCCCCTTCTCCCTCCCTAGAATTTTATCCAGCACCGCACAGGCACTTTAAACACCTGGATGGGCCTCATGGATGAACACGGGCCTTGGAAATGGGAGGATGGGACAGACTATGAGACAGGCTTCAAGTGAGTGTGTGTCTTCTCCCACAGCCCTGCTCCCTCTGCTCGGCCTGGCAGGTGCCCTGGGCCCCCCAGGAACTTAGGGAAGGGTGGGTTTCTGGGAGCCCATCCCTGTTCTGTGTCCTTAGGAACTGGAGTCCAAAACAGCCCGACAACTTTGAGGGGCACGGCCTGGGCGGAGGCGAGGATTGTGCTCACTTCACTGAGAATGGCGAGTGGAATGACAATGTCTGCCAGAGGCTCTTCCACTGGGTCTGTGAGACCAGGCTGACTGAAGCCAGCTAGAAGCCACCTCTCCTTCTGCCGAAGGACTCCAGAATTGGGGCTCCTCCTATCTGGGGGCTTCTTCCATCTTCTCAGGGATTATCATGTTGCATAGTATGAGAAGGGGGAATGATGGTATCTGAGAAATGTAAAATCATGTTCAGAGGCATGGAGAGATTGAAAACTGTCACTTTCTAGAATTTACTGTAAAGGTTATTATTCTCCTTTTTTTTTTTTTAAAGAATAAAAGGAGAAAAAGGCTTAAACATCCAGTGTTTTCTGGTTATTCGGGATGAGGTTGGGAGCAGGTTTATTGGCCTGAAAGCCCCGTGGGCAAGTGCTGGTGTTGTGTTAGTTTGGGCTCTGGATTTCCAGATCTGAGTTGTAAAATACGATTATTTCTGGGAGCCATCCTCCTTGTGGCAGCCCCCACAGGAATAGATTCACTCCAAGGTGCTGAGTGCTTCAAAAGCCTTGAATGCAGCTCATCGCTGCCTGTTAGATTCATTATATCAGCAGAAGCAACAGCCACAGGCAGGCTAACAGGGTACCTGATTCACCAAGAGAGGCTCATGGTCCAGAACCACCCCATAGCTGAGGAAAAGCAGTAGCAAGGGAGGGAAGCACCAAATGACCAGAACCAGCCACCCAAGAGCAGAGCTGAAGGACAGGCAGACTTAACAGGCCTTGAAAGGATGATTAACAAACACTGAAGACCTATTCGCTCACAAAGACCTCCACTCATTCCCTACAACAGGACTTCTCTGGCGTTCTTTTAAAGGCTATCAGAAGCAATCACAGAAATAAATATAAAAATCATCTTCCACACATAAAATTTCATCTTTTTTCTGACTAATTTTTTCATTTAGAATAAAAATCAAAATAGAAAAGTTAGCTGATTTAGAAATGATCGATGTGCACTGTGGATTAAGTCCAACTAACTTGATGGTGGGATCTTCTGGTTTGGCGGCAATAATCTTTATAAACACAAATTGCCCATCTTTTCTCCCGTAGTGCTGCTGACTATGTCCAAACCCCACCTTCAGATCAGTAATTGAATATACACCAGATGGGCCTTGTAGGAACCTCAAGGAATAAATTAAAAAGCAACACAAAACTAAAATCTGTTTCCACTGCGTTGATTCACAGTTATTCTATCTGGCAGGGCAGAGCTGGCTCACAGGCTTCCCAAAAGGGTCAATCTTCATGGAAGCACTGCTACATCTTTCTCTTGTGGAGGAACTGGGGGGTTTGAACCTCTGGCCTTTCGGTTAGCAGTCAAGTGCTTCCAGGGCTCTTCAAGGAACAAAATGCATCTCTGTAAATGGAAGGAATTTACAAAAAATAAAAGCAAAATCCATGAAATAGAAAATAAAAAGAAATACTAGAGAAGCCAGAATCTTTTAAGGGATTAATGAAATTCCCCTTTCCCTTCATTCTACCTACAATGATGTTTAAGAGTTAAATAAAAATAATCTTGCTTCTTCCCTGAGATGGAATGCGACCATGTTGGGGCAGGGGCAGAGAAGGAAAAGGAATTATTAGGGGACTGAAAACAGTTCAGGAAACAATTCTATTGTCTTTTCAATCCATCCACCTCCCCCCCCCTCCACCAATTAGCTTTTTGAAGCCTCCTCATATAAAAGGGGGGAGTGAATGGCTGATTTTCCAGAAGCCCCTCACCAGGCCTCTCTCCTAAGGTGTCTCTGAATGGCCTCACTTAACCAACTCTCCTTTCAGCAGCCCAGCGGGAAATGGTTTGCATACCTCTGAGACTATGGAACTAATAAAAGAAAAGAGGAAAGGAAAGACTGTGATGTAGTTACAGACAAACAACCGTTGCTGCCACGGAATCCCAGCTCCCCATGAGCCCCTGTGCTGCACATTCATACTCCATTCTAGAGGGGATTCAAGGCTATGCGCCCCTAGAGCAGATGGACAGGCTCTTCCCCCAAGGAATCTCTGGGTGGGGTTGAACTACCAAACTTTTGGTTAGCAGTTGAGCAGTTAACTATTTGCCCCACCCATGGGCCCAAGACCAACTATAGAAAGACTTCTCCAATAAGGCCTTGAGCCTAAACATTTCCTTTCAATGATAACATTATGCCCCTTGGGCAGCCCAGCAGGAGACAGCTGGCACTGTAGACATGGGTCCCTGGAGAATGTGTCCATAAGGGTGTCATTTGCAAAACTGTGAGCAGGCTTAGGAAAGCTACCGGGGATAGAGCAGGAGCCCAGGAAGTATATAATCCGGAGCTGTGACCACCCAGAGTGAACTGAGTCAATGAGAGAGGGCCCCCTACAGGAACTGTGGCTATGGGATGCAGGAGGCACCTGCCCCAAAGTATCCCTGCCGTGAAGAGCCTAGGGATAAAGCAAGAGATAGGGAATCTCTTAGAAAAATGCTAAGCGGTGTAACCTACTATACCACTGGGGTGCCTTAGTTCATAGAAATGAAACTCAAATGCTCACAGACATGTAGAGACGTGCTTGTTGTTTTTAGCTGCTGCTGAGTTGACACTCGATGCATGGTGATCCCATGCACAACGGAAACTGGTGCCATCCACCAGGTTTTCATGGAATGCTTTTCTATAGGAGATCGCCAGGCCTAAGGAGTCCATCTTAATCTGGAAGCCTGCCAGGGTACTTGCCCTAACATGTCATCATGGGTCCGGTAGGTGCAACTGTACAGCAGTAATAAGTAAAGATTATAGTAATGCCATAGAGAGCATGAGAGATAGAAGTTAGAGAGAAGCAATGGAGTCAGACATGTTTCATGGTAGCAATGCTCACCTTAGCCCCGCTTGGTGGTACACGTGGAGAGAGAGAGAGATATTTAATTCTAACCAGGGCTTTTATATTCGCTGGGGACATGCAAACTCCCTAATTTCAGGTGAAGACATACATCACAGGAAAGGGCTGTAACACAGCAATGCAAGGGGGTGGTCCAGGGATATCCACACAATAGTAAGAGGAGGAATTGGGGGTATACATGTGGCAAGATGGGCGGATGCCAGATTCAGGATGGCAGTCTAACTGAGCTGGTTTGACCTGTTCCCCAGCTCAACTGATAGAGACCATTATCAGCAGTGTGTGAACTCCACCTACAGGAACCAAATCTAGGCCTGTCCATTGTCCATTAAGAGCAGGGAGGGGGCTCACTGCAGTCTGGCAACTGATTGCCCTCAGGGAGGATGCCTGCAAGCATCTGACCTCCCCCCACATGCCAGCACCCCCCACATGCCAGCAAAAAGCTCCCAATGCTTGTCTTGTCTCTGGGGGAGACAAAGCTGGGGAAAAGTCTCTTTATAATCCCACAATTCCCCCTTTTATTTTATATATATAATTCAAAAGAGCCACGTGCGCAACATGGTTATTTTCTATACATTGAAAGCTGGCAAGGCAAAACTTCATGATCCAATTAATATAGCCAAAAGTTCAGGCTTATAGCAAACATTTTGAATCCAGGCGCTGAGGATAAAGTCCCCCTATGCCCATCTGCTATTGGAGGAAGGTATGAGAGGGACTGAATGCCACGGCAGGAAGAAATAAAGCCAAATGGGAATATCTGCTTCTATAGGGAGAATGAAACAACCATGTGCTTACTTTAAGGCAGCACAGCTTTAGAGGGAGAAACTGTGGAAATGACAGACTACCACAGGAAAATGTACTTGGACCATATATCCAACTACCAGAGTAGTGGCCTTCTTACCGTGGAAACTGGTCTTCCAGATTCTCTCTGTACCACCAGGGAATAAGTCCCAGTCCTATTTCCCTTAGTGCTAGTGTCACGCATTTCCCCTTTCTGCATTACGTTTAAGACTTAATAGTGTCACGGAGGCAACATGGTCTCTCTTCATATCTCTTAGCTTCCTATAGAAGCGACATGAGACAGCCAGCATCAAAAATATGATGAATAAACAACACAGTCAGACTAGAACTTAAACTATGTGAAATGCTTTTAACCCAAGCACGTGGGATCCAGCCTCTCTCTATGTCAACCACCATTTGCTTAAATGCCTCAGCTAGTCAAATGCCTTAAATCAACCCTTGAATGTATAGAAAATATCCTGTTAGCTAAATCACATCTAATGAAATGTTCCCCTTAAACCCTTGAAAATGTTTTTTTTTTTATCAAATCCCAATCCTGCGATGCCTTATTATATGGGTAAGGCGTTATACAAAAATCAATTACATTCCAATCACGTTTTAACAATTAACAAGTCCAAACTCTTGATCTTTCAGCAAAGCAACAGTCTGTAGTAATAGTCCAGTCACTATTGTATAAAATGTTCAGTTATGATAGAGTCCCAGAGTGTCCCTTAGACAGCATCAGCAATGGAAGAAATATCTCAGCAGTCAGCAAACGTCATTCTCAGGAATCTGCAAGGTCTTCTTGATGTTTTGGATAACTTCAGTAGCAGGACGTGGTCAGGTCATGCATCAGCTTCCCTCCTTCTGGGCCTTGCTGGATGAAGAGAAATCCACCTATCTCCTTTGCCTGTGAAAATATAAGCAAATAGCCCCTCCCTTCGGTGTGCCAGTGACCTAGAAAAAGAATTATGATTAAGCCTTCGTGTCCTTCATGTCCATCTTTCTCCGAACATGGTTGTATCCTTCTAAGGGGAGTCCATCAGCTTTATTCTGCAAAAACATAAATGCATAGCTCTTTCTCCAGATGACAACTGGACTTGGTTCCCAAATGTGATTTCCATCTTCTTGGGACTTCTTAGGATCAGCTTTCTCTATAGAAGTGAAAATGTGTTTATCTGTCCTAATTTTGTTACAAACTTTTAGTAAGGAGAAAATATTTTGGTTAAATTGACCAAATGAAATTTGTCACATATAAGATTCCTCTTCTTCCCCTTCTGTTTTAACAATTCAGATTCCAAAGCACTGCTAGCAATCTCAGTTAACTTGCTTTGACCCAGTATTGTTATGTAAATATGGACTTGCAACTCTCAGAGAATCCAGAGAGCTAACACATACATTTCAGTTCCCAGCTCTCAGAGAATTAAGAG